AGTAGTCACTGTATACCACAGGTTTTTAGTGTTATAAGTAGTCACTGTATACCACAGGTTTTAGTGTTATAAGTAGTCACTGTATACCACAGGTTTTAGTATTATAAGTAGTCACTGTATACCACAGGTTTTAGTGTTATAAGTAGTAATTGTAGAGTACAGGTTTTAGTGTTACAAGTAGTCATTGTAGAGTACAGGTTTTAGTGTTATAAGTAGTCAATTGTATACCATAGGTTTTAGTATTATAAGTAGTCACTGTATACCATAGGTTTTAGTGTTATAAGTAGTCATTGTATATTACCCATGTAAACCCCGTAACCGGTGTCAAAGAATCCTGTAAACCCAGTAACCGGTGTCAAAGAATCCTGTAAATCCCGTAACCGGTGTCAAAGAATCCTGTAAACCCAGCTTTTGATAGATTTATTTATTAGAAATATGTTGAAAACAATATTTTGTTGTAGAGGATAAATCTCAGAAACAGGTCCATTACCGAATGGCAAGTCTGTTTATAACCCTTTTAACATAATGATAACCTTCACTTGTATTCATAGCGTGACAATAACATTAGTTTATACCACAATAACATTAGTTTATACCACAATAACATTAGTTTACTATAGAACAGTCATATCCCTAAAACTATAATTTATTAAATTCTTGACATCCAAAAAAAACTAAGCAGATTATCAAAGTAAAAATAGTTCAAGAAAATAAAATAATATTTCACGGACTCGCTGATTTATCTTTGAATTTCTTCAAAGATCAGAACGTTTTAATAAAATATCCAACCATGACCTTATAAATCACGAAGTTTTCTAGTACACGTATTCTGTAAACCTGTATTATACAGTACCTACTTATAACACTAAAACCTGTACTATACAGTAACTACTTATAACACTAAAACCTGTACTATACAATGACTACTTATAACACTAAAACCTATGGTATACAGTGACTACTTATAACACTAAAACCTGTAACCGGTGTCAAAGAATCCTGTAAACCCCGTAACCGGTGTCAAAGAATCCTGTAAACCCCGTAACCGGTGTCAAAGAATCCTGTAAACCCCGTAACCGGTGTCAAAGAATATCTGGCGTTCCAATTGATTTTTAATGTAATAAATGTGGCAAGGAATATAAGCAGATGGACTAACTTAAACCTTTTTTTTAAATATTTTTCTAACTGTTCCAGTGTAGGTTTTATTTAAAAACTGTTTGTTTGTTTTAGCTTAAAGCTACAAATCGGAATATCTGCGCTCCGTCCACTGCTGGGGATCGAACCTCGGATTTTAGCGTTGTAAATCCTTATAATTACTGCGTAGTTCTGATCTATATAGGTGGCTTGCTTTGATCAGAATTTATTGATCATTTATCCAAGTGGATCTTCATTTATTCTAATAACTGTACCTCAAGGCTTAAGTTGTTATTGTCCAGTTACACGTCTCGCCATTTCTCCTGTAATGCTGCACCGAAACCGTGAAGATAGCAGAAAAAAAACGTAGATAAGTTTCACTATTACTGTTGTTTAGTGTATTATTTAAGACTATTCTTTTACAACAATCTAATATATTTATATTAATTTACATCTAATTATGTTTACATTTAAATTACACATTATTAGAGCAAACTCCGTACAAAGGTCAAGTTTGGTTCCATTTTGTAAAACACCACTTGTATAATTCAAGCACGCCATCATGCTGTGTACTGATACCTTATCGCATGTTCTTCAGGTGTGTTAACAGTAAAAGGGGCGGGGATTATCGGGTTTTTACTTGACGTTACGGTTTAATAATGATAAAGTTCAGTTATAAAAACATCACGAGCACGTATCTCCCTGTCTGTCTATCTCTGTGTATGAGTGGATTATAGAAGGATTAGTGACCAACGGATAAACAGAAGGAGCGGATGAATATGGCTCGCAAACTCTACAAAGATGTTCGAATAGTTAACCCTAAATATATAAGTAAACAGACACTTGGTGATGAACAAGGAGAAGTAATCAGTGCATTTCCTGTGAAAAACAGACAGACAGACGTTTAAACAAGTAATCATCAAGCTACGTAATGTCTTTCCTTTGATCTATAAACGCTGTAGATTCTATATGTATACAGATATTCGATAAATTACTAGAGGTGGACATTCCGAACTGTGGTGACTTTCCTTTTATCTGTAGGTGACTGGACACTTACAGTCTACAAATACTTGAAGGGTGACAATTCCTAATTTTTAATTTTTTATTACTATTGTTGTATTTATTTTGTTCATTCTCGAATTGAATCGCTTCAACTGAGTAAAAGTTAGCTTTAAATAAATGAAACCGATAACCTGCTGACTTGTAATAAAAATAATTGTCAGAATGTAAATTAGAGACTGGTGAATATGTACGTGCGCACTTACATAAATAACACTTTAT